TATTTATTTTTTAAGGGACACCCTGTACTGATTATCACACTGGATGTTTAGCCATGACTCAGGGCGATGTAAAGCCACAATGGGTATTTGCGTCGGATAGCACTGCCGCACACCTTATCCCTTCTGGTATGATCACACTAGAATGTCATGCTACTTCTGTTGTTCACCAATCATCGACTGGCTATCCGTTTCTCGGCTGGTGGCATCTGAGCAAAGTGAGGTAAATTCATCGCTGAAGGAAATTCCTGGTTAAGACAAAAATGGTACCGCATTTGAATTGAAACATAACACCTCAAAAATTTGAAGCCAAGTCACCTTGCAACTGCATCACCGCTTCCCAACACACCTTATATTCTACCACAGAAACATTAGTGATTTCAGGCCAAGGCTAAGCAGCTGTCATTGGCAAGAAACGGTACTCATATTTTCTTAACAGCTGACCAGTCTCACAAAGCTGAATGTGAAAGTAGCAAATAATGGTCACGTGTCAATCACTAGCTTCTGTCTGTGAATCGGCCAGAAATTAATTGATTATTTGGTCTAACGTCATGAGTAGCAATATTAACTTAGCAGCAGGAAAGCGTCGTGACTTTCTGTTGAAGCTGTTGTAACTGCTCGTCGTTCTCTACCCAAACCGATTAGTACTCTACAGTTTCTGCGCCAGGCAAATTATTGAGCCTGAATATCAAATCGTTGTTCGCCCGTGAATGTCACTGTTTTTTTATGAAATTAACAGTGGCTTGCGCTACGCTAAAAGGTTTCTTCTGGTCACACATGTTGACTTTTTCAATGGTACAAATTAGTTTTAGAAAACTGTGGTAACCTACACAACGGGAAAAATGTATATAATGCACATCGACAATGTAAAGTCTTAAAAAGTTTATCCAATACAGTAAATTGTCAGTTCAATGATTTTCGACACCTGGCAGTAGACAGATGGTAATCTTTAGTATAAATGGTGACATTTCGGCCGAACTACATTGGCCATTCTCAGGACAGACAATGAGATGGAGAAAGCCGAATAACCGCGCCCTAAGTGGCAGTTACAACATCCACTGACTATCAGCAAATAGTATTGTTATATTAACTCTAATAGTAGTACTGCAACTTTTAATAATGCTGGTACTATTGATACTTGTAATGAACCCTGTAACATTGCTTCTACTAGCATTAGTGTATTGTCACTAGTAACAGTAATATCAGAAGTGGCAGTATTACTACTATTGATAATACGATTGAAGGAGACAGAATTGAGATGAATTTGAAAATCGCTTATCCATTTGTCTTCAAGCCTACTATTTCATTCGGATTGCGGAGGCAGAAGCAGCCTCAGCAGATATCTCTAATGATTGCTGTTCTCGATTCTCTACCAATCAGGCACGGTGCATGGGTTCGAGTTTAATGGCGATGTATTATGCCAAAGGTTGGCGAAAGACAGACTCTCAGTCTATTATTTGTTTGTGACGAGGGTTTGCGAATGTAATCCCGGTTGCAAGCTTATTCCTTATCATCACGAGAGACATAATTCAGTCTTCCAGAAAAATATTTAAATTTGAACTCAACCACTGAATAACCTTGGAATACTTCATTGAAAGAAGAAGCGGAAAACACTGAACCACGTTCGTACGCTGTCTGGACGATGTGATCAACCGTCCCCTATATGAAAGGTTGAAGAGTCACCAGTCTGCGAGTGTTGCGAATCTCATCAGACAATTTCTCTCGTTTCCAGTAAGTGCACCAAACGTTCATTCAAAGGAAACATGCTTTACCTGAAACCGTCGTTGGATATCCATCATAGACATCCGCTACGTAAATGCCTGGGAGTAGCGCGGGAGTCCGTTCCTGTAGGCTAAAGTGCTAGCGTTTACCGCTACTTCTCAGTGATATCCTTCCGTAACCAAAACCTTATAAAATGTTCCGCTTCTCTGAATCCGTTATGCTAGACGAAAGTTAGGGAGACGCTACACTTTGGTTTGAGGTTTGACGGGGTGGATAATGGAAAGTCATATATGTTATCTCAGTTTAATGACCGTTTCCAACAGTTGTTGTGAGAGTAGTTCGTGATGATACTGAACTGAACCGTTTCTTCTGTAGAACGATATTAGCGCTGATCGGAAGATGTTCACGGAACGGCTCGAAACAAGCCTGTGCTTGAGAATAGCCGCCGGCATCCACTTCACTCTCATAACACTGGTTCTGATGGGGCGGTGGGTGCCGATGGCGTACCTATTCGCCAACACGGCGTTCATCATGTGTCTGTTCTGGAGCATAACCGCTTCGGAAGTCGACTCGCCGTACCCGCTGTTGCAGTCGTTCGCCCTGAACATATTCTGCCTGGTGCTGGACGTGTTCGTCATGACGTTGAACTACGGAGCGGTCGCTACCACGGCCGTCGACAGGTTCAGCATTTCGATGTCGATCCTGAACTTCATGTTTCGTCTGGCAAGCGTCGGCCTGCTGTATTACGTCAGGGACGAGAGGAAACGACTGAGGTATGCCGCTCCGAGCAATCCGGCTCCTTCCGCGGTCTGAAATATTATTTAATTTTATCTTACTGCACAAGAACATCGTGCTGCCAAATATTAAGCATCGCAAACTATAGTAAAGTCTTGTTCAAAGCTAACAAAGTTAGCTATGCCATAAAATTTCAGAATATTCGTGATTATGGATTTTATTTACAGTTATGTTTATTATTAAACCTATGGTTCATGCCTGACATGGAATTTTATTTAGTCCGCGATCAGGCGGGTCAAAGCGACCTGTCATAAACGTA